ACAGTCTGCCGTGGAAAAAGTAGGGATATGCTACTTTGTCACTTCAGGCCTTACATCACGACAGTTGAACCCCTTAAAGTTTGACTTGTTAAAATAAATTCTTTTTGGTGCCTTAATAGCTCCATATGCTCAAAAATGGGTATTGATAGTGTTGATGGGTTATTTAATGTCCAAACCAAATAAGAAAAAAGTAACGTAAACTCTTGGGTTGTGAAGAAACGACCAAACCAATAAAAAGAGTAAAGAATTTGGTAATGTTACCAAATATATTTTTGGGTCATATTGTTAAACATTATTTATTGTTAAAAAAAATTTCAATTAATGAACCATTTTCCTTTTCTCTCTTAATGTATTGCTATTGTTAGATGTAGAGATGTAAAATTGCGGAAAAATAAATTTCGTGGAAAAATTCGTTGAAAAATTGCGGAAAAATTGGAAAAATTGGAAAAATAAATCCATTTGGCTGTTTATTGCCCTAAACACCGAGTAAACTACAATAGTTTCGATGGAATAATTCCCTTCCCTTGGTACGTTTCTCTCAGATTTCGTCCCTTTTTTTGGCCGAGCACAAACCCATTTGCTCTATGCTCTAAGCATTAGCTAATAACTACCTCCTGAAGTTGATTCGATGTTCACATTTGTAAAGCTAGCGTGCATACTAGTTCAGGCAGGGTACGGCAACGAAGTGGCCTGTGGCTGGTTCTATCCTTTGACCACCGCCAAATGGGGGTCGGGTACACTCTAACTAAGATTTCGTCGCGAAGAATTGACCATTCGGAACGATCGAGGTTTCAAAAACACAACGTTTTTCTTTGTAGATTCCATATTTAATATTTACGAGTAAAAATAAACATCCGTTTGTTGGATGTCGACAAATTAAAATCTCCGTTCACACGGCCTCGGCCCGCAGCGTCTCCGGTCGGCCGACTTTCAGCTCACTATTCTCCGTAAATATTTCATTCACCTCCACAACCCGGCAATATTATGAAAGTTCAGACCTTCTAGATTCGTGATACCATACGCGATAGACGAAGTAGCCATACATTGTTGTAGATGATTGAAATGAACGGAGTACAGGAGAACGGGATTCGCGGACGACGTCTTACAAAGTTTCATGAGTGGCAGGTAAGATTACGTCAAGATGAATGAAGGAATTATTTACGAAGGAGGGCGAGTGGCACCCAGTAGGCCGAGAATCCCATACATGTTCAATATCGAATCTACAAAGAAAAACGGTGTTTTGATACCTCGATCGGTCCGAACGGTCCATTCTTCGCGGAGAAATCTTAGTTAGAGTGCGCCCCCTTTTTTGGCGGCGGTAAAAGGATAGAACCAGCTCGTCACACTACGTTGCCGTACCCTGCAAACACTCAGGTGTATATGAGAACTGGTGCAGGTACAGTTCCTAGCATTGTATCAGTACTGAATAACAGGAAAGTTTGTCTTTTTTTGGTAAGTGGAAAAATAGGAAAAATAAGGAAAATATCTTTCAATTTTTCCATGAAAAATTTCCAATTTTTCCGGGAAAAATTTCCGCCCGTACATCTCTAGTTAGATGTTTTTGGTTTGGACCATAGAGGCATCCTTAACAATTAGATTTCAAGTTACGGAAAGTTTTTATCACTCTCCTGGCTCCTGGAGTCATGCGCGTAAAGTCCAATTTAGGTCAAATGACTAGAATTTCTAAAGTTGTCGTTTCTTCACAACCCAAGAGTTTACGTTACTTTTTTATTATTTGGTTTGGACATTAAATAACCCATCAACACTATCAATACCCATTTTTGAGCATATGGATCTATTAAGGCACCAAAAAGAATTTATTTTAA